AATCTTTGGGATGCAGCAAAAGCAGTTCTGAGAGGGAAGTTCATAGAAATACAGGCCTACCTCAAGAAGCAAGAAAAATCTCAAATACACAACCTAACCTTACACCTAAAGGAGTTTGAAAAAGAAGAACAAATAAAACCCCAAACCAGCAGAAGGAAGGAAATAATAAAGATTAGAGCAGAAATAAACAAAGAAACTTAAAAAACAATAGAACAGATCAATGAAACCAGGAGCTGCTGCTTTGGAAAGATAAACCTCTAGCCAGACTCATCCAAAAAATAAGAGAGAGGACTCAAATAAACAAAATCAGAAATGAACAACTGACATCACAGAAATACAAAAGATTTTAAGAGAATATTATGAAAAATTATATGCCAACAAACTGGACAATCTAGAAGAAATGGATAAATTCCTAGAAACATATAACCTACCAAAACTGAAGCAAGAAGAAATACAAAATTTGAACAGACCAACTACCAGCAATGAAATTGAATCAGTAATCAAAAAACTCCCAACAAATAAAAGTCCAGGATCAGACAGCTACACAAGTGAATTCTACCAAACATTTACTTATTTTTTCTAAGATTTTTTTTTTTTATTTGTCAGAGAGAGAGTGACAGTGAACACAAGCAAGGGGAACGGCAGGCAGAGGGAGAAGCAGGCTCCCCACTGAGCAAGGAGCCGGATGCGAGACTCGATCCCAGGACCCTGGGATCATGACCTGAGCTGAAGGCACAAGATCAGGAGCAGATGGGAGGGAAAAGGAGGGCCTCCACATCATCTCACACATCAGACACCTGCTTTCCTACAGTTTGTCCAAAGTGGCACTGGAAGGTTAAGTTACACAATATAAGGTAAGTTCACAGACTATGTCCAATTTCAAGGACCATGAGCAAAACGTGGGACAGCAGAAACATGATGTGGTAATAATAATAACAACAATCAAAATATACTGAGCAAGTACTAGGTGCCAAACACTCTTTTATATATTTAGCATATGTTAATTCATTTAGCATAAAAAGGATAAGAGCCATTTATAGGCTAAGAGCAGGAAGCAGTGTGGGATCAAAATGGGTTATCTCCTCAAACCTTCATGCCATTTTTAACCTCAATAAACCACAGGCCTTTGTCTCAATATACTTCAATATCTACATATCATGTGTGCCAAAATCATCATTTTGGCAGACAATTTTCATTACTGAGACAAATAATTTGGAAGGGAGGAAGGGAGGAAGGAAGGAAGGAAGGAAGGAAGGAAGGAAGGAAGGAAGGAAGGAAGGAAGGAAGGAAGGGAGGGAGGGAGGGAGGGAGGGAGGGAGGGAGGGAGGAAGGGAGGAAGGAAAGAAGGAAAGAAGGAAAGAAAAGAGGAAGAGAGTATATTTTGCAGCCAAACTCATGCTGTCCAGCCCTATGGGAAGTTTCCTTTCTAAGCCTCAACCTATTCTTATCAGAATGGAGTTGTCTTTATGAATAGTTATTTCTCCAGTCCAAGCCTATACCAGGATAACAGGGACCCTCTACTAGGTCGTAATTTATATCACCCTCATTGATACTAAAAATAAAATACTAACTTTTCTCTATTAATGCCCAATATCTAAACTGTATGCCTTGCTTTGTAAGCAAAAATGTAGAACCCCTGTACTTGGGGGTCTGTCAGTGGCCCTGCCCTCAAACTGACTGCTAATAAAGGACCATATCAGACAAATCAATAAGAAAATGGCACAAGGGGCACCTGGGTGGCTCAGTCGTTAAGCGTCTGCCTTCAGCTCGGGTCATGATCCCAGGGTCCTGGGATCGAGCCCCGCGTCGGGCTCCCTGCTCATTGGAAAGCCTGCTTCTCCCTCTCCCTCTGCCTCTCCCCCTGTTTGTGCTCTGTCTCTCAAATAAATAAATAAAATCTTTAAAAAACAAAACAAAAGCAAAAAAAATGGCACAAGATGTGAACAGACATTCAACAAAAGATAACATCCAAATGGCTTAAAAACATAGGAAACAATATTCAATGTCATTGGTCATAAGTGAAATAGAAACTAAAATCACTGTAAGGTGCTACCTGACACTGACCAAAATGGCTAAAACGAAAGACTCTCAATACCAAGTATTGGCAAGGATGGGAAGCAGATGGAACTCTCAGACACTGTCTGAAGGGTATAAAATGAAAACCTGCTTGTCAGTATTTATTAAAACTGAGTGTATAGATGCACTAGAATGAAGCAATTCTACTCCTAGATATATACTCAACAAAAATGTATACATACATCACAAACAGACATCTACAGCACTCTTTATAATGGCAACATTATTCATAACTGCCAAAAACTGGAAATTACCCCATCCACAGTGGAATGTACATATAAATTGTGTTATATTCCTATAATGAAAAACTACACAATAATGAAAATTGGTGATCTACAACTATACTCAAATACACCACTAAAACTCACAAACATAACAGAGAGAAAGAAGTTAGACACAGAAGCCTACCTACTGCCTCACTCCTTCTATATAAAGGAGTAAGCACACAAGCAAAACTAATATATACTGTTAGAATTCAGAATAGTGCGTGCCTGGGTGGCTCAGTTGGTTAAGCGACTGCCTTCGGCTCAGGTCATGATCCCAGAGTTCCGGGATCAAGTCCCGCATCGGGATCCTTCCTCAGCAGGGAGTCTGCTTCTCCATCTGACCGCCCCCCTCATGCTCTCTCTATCTCATTCTCTCTCTCAAATAAATAAATAAAATCTTTAAAAAGAATTCACAATAGTGATTATTTGGGGAAAGAGGACTGTGATAGCAAGGGGAACAACAGAACAGGGGCCTTGGGGGCTAATGGTTAATATTCTATTTTTTGATGATCTGAAAGCTGGTAATATGGGTGTGTTCACTTTGTGAAAAATCATTGAGTTTTATACTTATGATTTGTGTGTGTGTGCCTTTTCCTGGATATAGGTTACATTCCATTAAAACTTCACCAAACAACCAGGAGGTGGGAAGGCATGTATGGATATTATGTATCAATACGATGAATATTTCTCTGTCTTCAACAAAATTGCTGCTAATATCATTGCCTATAAATAATTCCATGTAGTAAATTCCTCTTAGAATATGTCCTAAGAAAAATATTTGTCTTTCTTGAATACCTATTTATGCTTCATTTATTAAGAAGCTCGGAGCTAACCTGAACACTTTGATGCCGTAATTATTCTTAATGAAAGGTTTTTAGCATTTTAAGATCTCCAATTCAATATTTATTTCATGTTCTTTAAACCATTTTGAATGATTCCATCATATTTATGTTTATTCAAGCAACTAGCATCCTCAAAACCTTTCTGGAATTTATAAAAATGCATACTTGAGAGTAGTGAGAATAAATCAGTGATCAAATATAGCCTCTGAAACTGTATGATAAATTAAGAGGTAGGTATTTTATTTAATTTATAGTATACTCTTTATAAATGTTCCTATAATATAACTAATAACTTTTAAGCAAAAATCTACCAATCATCCATCCAAGCAAACAATTTCAATGTATTAAATGCAAATATTAAAATCAAGTAGGCTATACCAATCATCTGGTCATCACACTGGGCTGTCTCAAACTAAGTCTATCTCTTAGTTGGTAGAGAGGAGAGGAAGTGTACACCATCTTCATCATGAAAGGTTAACATTATAAAACCTACAAAGACATCCTCCAGACAAGAGGAAACTCACTATAACAAATGAATTTGAGTGTGTAGCCAAAAACTCTCATTATATGAAAAATAAAACCAAATGTAACAATACAAGTGGTGGCAAACCAATAAAGATGTTATTTGATGAGTTCACTATAAAATCCAAATAAAGGAAAATGAGAAAGAACTGATGTGGGGCAGAGATAAGTATAAACTGAATAGAGCTTGTTTTCCTGTTGTTTGTAAAAAGCAAATAAATGTCAAATTTTGTAACTAATGAAAATAAGTGAACATCAAATATTTGTGAAGGGGTTGTTTCAAAAAGAAAATCCAAACTGACTTTCAACTATTAATAACTTCAGCTTCCCAAAGGGATTATTTGATTTTAGGTTGCTATTGTTGTTGCTGTTACTGTTATTTAAAAAGTATTGTGACAGACTTTCTCCACTAAGCAGAACAATCATACATTTTTATTTCCTGTCCTTACTGGTAAATACCCCACAAAATTTCTTTATTGATTCTTTTTATTCTCTTAACTAGGTAGGTTAGGCTTCCTTTTATTCTATTTTCTCTTTCTTTCTCACTAAATAATATTTCTAAATTAATAATAGGCAGATAATAACAGTTAACACATGTTGAGTGGTAACTATAAGTCAGGCACTCTTTCAAACACATTACATATAATAATTCGTTTAATCTTCAAAACAACCTGATGGGCTAAGTGCTATCATCACCACCATTGTAGAGATGAAAAAAACTAAGGCACAGAGGATTTAAGTTATATCCCAAGGTTACCTAGCTAATGTGTTAAAATCCAAACCCAGTAATACAAAAATACTATGCAGGTTAATTATTTACCATATGATGAAATGGATATGTAAAATATAAATATTCAAAGGTTAGGTCTATAGGAAAAACAATTTTCCAACAATGTTGAACTATTTAACTCAGCATCATCTTCTTCCAAATTACCACTATTCACATAACAACAAAGCACCTTGAAGTTAAAACAAAAAAAGTCTCTGCGTTGATACCTTGTAAGTGAATGGGGGCATTTTGTTTTGAAGACTACATCAGCTAAAAGGTTTTCCTGAATCAGAAGTGAATATTGTAAAACTAGGTAAAACTAATACTGCAGAGTATCATGTTCAACATCAGAAGAGTTTGAGAAACCTCTTCAAGGTTCCTCAGGGATCAATTTCAAAAAAAAAAGCCCACTGTTCAAGGGTCTCCCCATCAGTAGCAGCTTTGTTGGTGATCAAATAAGCAGACAAATAATATAAAAATGGGTAGGTACCCTCTGTCTAAAAAGGAGTAAATACAATAGCATACCTCTTCTTCACAGTCTGAGCAGATGATCTTTGAAATAAACTTGCTAAAGGAGATGGTCAAGTTAACATGTGCAGCACTTCAGGAAGAGATTAGATAAAGTCTGGTAGGAATGATGGTGACTCGTCCTGAAAAATACAGAGATGCACAGTAAAAGGTGATTGTGTATATAGGAAATGCACCTGAAGACAAACAGTGAAAGAAAAACAAAACACTGCAAGACTGAGCAATTCATTTTAAAAAGAGAATTACGTTTAATTCTTTTAATTAAAATAATAAAAAATGCTGGGGCCCCTGGGTGGCTCAGATGGTTAAGCATCTGCCTTCGGCTCGGGTCATGATCCCAGGGTCCTGGAATTTCGGGCTCCCTGCTCAGTAGGGAGTCTTCTTCTCCCTTTCCCTCTGCCCCTCCCCCTGCTTGTGCACTCTCTCCCTCTCTCTCCCTCTCTCTCTCCCTCCCTCTCTCAAATGAATAAATAAATCTTTTAAAATAATAATAAATGTTTAAGTAAAATATAAGGTTAAAAGAAATAACTTGTGAAACATATGCCTAAGAAGTAGGAAAATACTATTTGGAAAACTGTGATAACTTAAAAATGCAGACTGTAAACCCTAGAGTAACCACTAAGTTAATAAAACAAAGAGGTATAGCTAAATAAGGCAATAGAGGAGATAAAATGGAACACTGAAAATACACTTAATCCGTAAAAAGACAATAAAGGAGAAAAAGAAAGACAAAAGGACAGACAGCATATAGAACACAAGAAAAAATAATAAAACAGTATATTTAAACCCAACAATATAAAAATCAGATTAAAAGAAAATGGTCCAAATATTTGTATTTAATAGTTAATAATAACTGTCTATTCAAAGACAACATGATCATATACATCAAAAATTACAAGGAATTCACAAAAGAACTGCTGGCACTAATAAATTAGCAACGTGGCAGAATACATGGTCAATCTAGAAAAAACAATATTTGTATTTTCAAATACCAACAAAGAAAGATGAAGAAATAAAATTTGAGGGGCGCCTGAGTGGCTCAGTTGGTTAAGCATCTGCCTTCGGCTCGGGTCATGATGACAAGGTCCTGGGATGGAGCCCCACATCGGGCTCCCTGCTCAGCAGGGGGTCTGCTTCTCCCTCTCCCTCTACCTGCTTCTCTGCCTATCTGTGCTCACTCTCTATGTCTCTGTCAAATAAATAAAATCCTTTAAAAAAAAAAAGAAAATTTGAATATAAACACATTCAATATATGTTTTTTACATATATGATATAATGTATTCTTATATATTATGCATATTTATAAATAAATTATAATAGCACTTAAAACCTGAAATATTGGGGGATAAATTTAAGAAAAGGTGTACAAGACCCGCACACTGAAAGCTACAAAACTTTGCTGAGAGAACTTAAGACCTAAATAAATGGAGATATATACCATGCTCATGAACTGAGATACTGAAGACAGTTAAGATATACATTTACAAACTGATCTATAGATAGCACAATCTCATTCAAAATTCCACAAAGGTTTCTAAAATTTATATAGAAATAAAATGTACCTACATTAACCAAAGCATTTTTGAAAAACAAAGTTGAGGGTTTACATTACCTGATTTCAAGACTTACTGTAGTATCATTTGCAAATATCTTCTCCCATTCCGTGGGTTGCCTCTTTGTTTTGTTGACTGTTTCCTTTGCTGTGGAGATTTTTATCTTGATGAAGTCCCAAAGGTTCATTTTCGCTTTTGTTTCCCTTGCCTTTGGAGATGTGTCTTGAAAGAAGTTGCTGTGGCCAGTGTCAAAGAGGTTACTGCCTATGTTCTCCTCTAGGATTTTGATAGATTCCTGTCTCACATTGAGGTCCTTCTCCCATGTAGAGTTTATCTTTGTGTATGCTGTAAGAGAATGGTCAAGTTTCATTCTTCTGCAGGTGGCTTCCCAATTTTCCCAGCACCATTTATTGAAGAGACTGTCTTTTTTCCATTGCATATTTTTTCCTGCTTTGTCAAAGATTATTTGACCATAGAGTTGAGGGTCCATATCTGGGCTCTCTATTCTGTTCCATTGGTCTGTGTGTCTGTTTTTGTGCCAGGACCATGCTGTCTTGGTGATCACAGCTTTGTAATATAGTTTGAAATCAGGCAACGTGATGCCCCCAGCTTTGTTTTTCTTTTTCAACATTTCCTTGGAGATTCAGGGTCTTTTCTGAGTCCATACAAATTTTAGGATTGTTTGTTCCAGCATTTTGGAAAATGCCATTGGTATTTTGATCGGGATGGCATTTAAAGTATAGATTGCTCTGGGCAGCACAGACATTTTAACACTGACACTACAAAGGGCTGATAACCAAGATCTATAAAGAACTTCTCAAACTCAACACCCAAAAAACAAATAATCAAGTCAAAAAATGGGCAGAAGACATGAACAGACACTTACTTCTCTAAAGAAGACATACAAATGGCTAACAGACACATGAAAAAATATTCATCATCATTAGCCATCAGGGAAATTCAAATCAAAACACATTGAGATACCACCTTACACCAGTTAGAATGGCAAAAATTGACAAGGCAAGAAACAACCAATGTTGGAGAGGTTTTGGAGAAGGGGGAACCCTCTTACATTGTTGGTGGGAATGCAAGTTGGTACAGCCACTTTGGAGGTTCCTCAAAATATTAAAAATAGAGCCACCCTATGACCCAGCAATTGCACTACTGGATATTTACCCCAAAGACACAAATGTAGTGAAAAGAGGGGCCATATGCACCCCAGTGTTCATAGCAGCAATGTCCACAATAGCCAAACTGTGGAAAGAGCCGAGATGCCCTTCAACAGATGAATGGATAAAGATGTGATCCATATATACAATGGAATATTACTGAGCCATCAGAAAGGATGAATACCCAACTTTTGCAACAACATGGATGGGACTGGAGGAGATTATGCTAAGTGAAATAAGTCAAGCAGAGAAAGTTAATTATCATATGGTTTCACTAATTTGTGGAACATAAAGAATAACATGGAGGACATTAGGAGAAGGAAGGGAAAAATGAAGGGGGTGGAATCAGAGGGGGAGACGAACCATAAGAGACTATGGACTCTGAGAAATAAACTGAGGGTTTTAGAGGGGAGGATGGTGGGGGGATGGGTTAGCCCAGTGATGGGTATTAAGGAGGGCATGTATTGCATGGAGCACTGGGTGTTATATACAAACAATGAATCATGGAACACTACATCAAAAACTAATGATGTACTGTATGATGACTAACATAATAAAAAAATAAATAAACTTCAAGACTTACTGTAAAGCTACAGTAATCGGAGCAATACAGTATCGGCATAAGGGTAGACATACAGATCATTAAACAGAATAGAGAGTTCAGAAATAGACCTACAAACATGTGACAGATTTTCAAAAAAGATCCTAAAATAATTCAGTGGGGGAAAAGTAATCTTTTCAACAACTAATACCGAAAGAACTGAATATCCATACTGAAAAGAAAAGAATAGTGACTCTTACCTCATACCATACACAAAAATTGTTAAAAAATGGATCATAGACCTAAGCATAAAAGTTCAAACTATAAAACTTCCAAAGTAAAATATAAGTGAAAATATTCTTGAATCTTAATCAAAGATTTCGTAAATGAAACAAAACACAACACACACACTATGAATCATAAAGAAAAAAAAGCAGCAAACGAGTTCATCAAATTGAAAACTAATACTCTTTTCTTCAAAGTATGCCATTAAGAAAATGAAAAGACAAGCCATGGACTGGGAAAAAATATTTCCAGTATTTCTAACAAAGAACATGTACCCAGAAAACAAAAAGCTCTTAAAGCTCAATAATAAACAGTGTAATATTTTTAATTTGGTGAAAAGACTTAAACTATTAGAGATGATGTACAAATAGCCAATACCCATAGGAAAAGATGCCTCATTATCACTGGTCACCAGGAAAATGCACATGAAAACTACTATGAGCTAACATCACACACTCATTAGAGGTTAAAATTAAAAAGAATTATAACAAGTGTTGGCAAGGAAGTAGAGCACCTAGACCTCTCATACACTGATGATGAAATTTAGAATGGTACACTCACTTTGGAGAATATTTTGGCAGTTTCTTAGAAAGTTAAACATTTACCATGAAAATGAAACATTCTACTCCTAGATATTTACCAAGAGAAATTAAAGCATATGTCTACCAAGAGACTTGAGCACAAATATTATAGCAGCTTTATTCATAATAGTTCAAGTCTGGAAACAATCTAAATGTCCAACAACACATGAATGGATAGATAAAAGGTGGTCTACTCAAACAGTGGGATATTATTCAGTCATAAAGAAAACAAACTAATGATAAACATAATGGATTACTCTCAAAAACAAAATGCTTAGTAAAAGAAGAGAGAAAAGAGTACATACTGTAGGATTCTACTTTAATGAAACTGTAAAGGAAGCAAATCTAATCTATAATGCTATAAAGCTGATCAGTAGTTGTCTCAGTCTAGTGGAGTAGTGACTGGCTGCTACAAAGAGTTTGAGAAAAAATTTTGGAATAATGGAAATACTGTATATTTTGAGTGGAGTGGTGGTTACATGGGTCTATACATTGGTCAAACTCATCTGAATACATATGTGAAATTCATTCATTTTACTGCATATGTCTCAAAAAGTTGATTTTAAAGTAAAACATTTATTCCATAAAAAATGATAAAATAAAAAAGGATGACTCATTAAGCGATCTGAATATTAACTCAGCCCAAATAATCTAACTGAACACTGAGATCATTCTCCATCTGTTTATTCATTCAACATAGTGGTTTAAATATGTCATTTTGATTAAGCTGGAAAATATTAACTATATGGTCCTGAGTTAGAATTGGCTAAAAGAAGAATCTGCATGAGACTTGGAAGTCAGAAGTGAGGCAGCAGCCTTACTTTCTGAAGGCTTCAGTGGTTAGCTATAGTAATGGACTTAGAGGTATTCATGAGATCCAAACTGTCTTGTTCTCTTCCACTCTAAATATAGCTCCTCTTCCCAAGTACTGACACTGTTGACTACTAATGGCTTGGACACACCACCAGATACTTGGTGTGGTACCACAGAGGTGGGATCTACATAGAAGCACTGTTCCCTCCTCCCCACATACTTTTGCCTTCCCTTTGCAATATGATTTTGGTATCTGAACATGTTTGATTTTCTCAGATTAACTGATAATTCTTCTCTGATCACCCAACTTCCCTCCTGGACTTTAACTTTCCCAATCCTTTCTAAAATTATATAAGGACTAACTCCTATAATAAATCTATTATGACAGGGCTTAGCAAACCTTTTATGTAAAGGGCCATAGAGCAAATATTTTAGGCTTTGCAAGCCAAGAGGTAAAACCAGATATATTACATAGGTACATGTGCAAAAAGAGAAACAAATTTCCGCACATTTTTGTTGATGAAATTCAAAATAGAATAATCATAATTGAGCACAATTTTTATAATATGTATCTACTAGTTACAAAATGAAAAGTTTTGGTGGGGGTAACACGGCTTTTAATTGGGATTCAAAGTTAGTGTTCCTTACCCCCTGAGCATGCAATATTATTTGAGCATATTCTTTCACTTACTAGGAATTGTAAGAATTCTATTAGATTCTTGTTTTGATATTTGTCCTTTAGCATGTCATTAAATTGCAGAGCAATTATTTCCAGTTGAAGAACAAGGTGGAAGCTCCTCAACTGCTAAGTTAAATGGATTTTGAAATATGGAAATTTTCTTTGCATTTGCATCAAGATCTAAAAAGCATTTGCTGGGAATGGGAGAAAATATTTGCAAAGCGTATATCCAATAAGGGAATATTTGGAGTATATAAAGGACTCCTACAACTCAACAACAGAGAAACATAATCCCAATTCAAAAATGAGCAAAAGACTTGAATGGATATTTCTCCCAAAGAGATATACAAATGGGCAATAAGCACATGAAAAGATGTTGGACATCACTAACCATTACGGACATTCAAGTCAAAACCACCTCTGAAACAAATAATGCAATATATGTTAAGAAAAAAAAAAAGAAGAAGATAGCAGGGGGGGAAAAATGAAGGGGGGGAAATCAGAGGGGGAGAAGAACCATGAGAGACGATGTACTCTGAAAAACAAACTGAGGGTTCTAGAGAGGGGCGGGTGGGAGGATGGGTTAGCCTGGTGATGGGTACTAAAGAGGGCACGTTCTGCATGGAGCACTGGGTGTTGTGCACAAACAATGAATCATGGAACACTACATCAAAAACTAATGATGTAATGTATGGTGATTACCAAAACAATAAAAAATTTAAAAAAAAAGATACCACTTCACACCCATTAGGATGTGGATACACACACACATACACACACACAAACTGGCAAGGATAGAGACTGGAACCCTTGTATATTGCTGCAGGTGGGAATATAAAATGGTGCAGTCATTGTGGAAAACAGTTCACTGGTTCCTCAAAAAGTTACCATATGGTCCAGCAACTCCACTTCTAGGCATCTACCCAAAAGAAGTGAAAGTAGGGACTCAGATACTTGTATACCAATGTTCATAGCAACATAAATCATAATAGCCAAAACATGGAAACAACCCAAAGGTCCATCAACAGACAAATGGATCAACAAAATGCGGTATATACCTACAATGGGGTATTAGTCAGCTTTTAAAAGGAATGAAATTCTGATACATGCTACAACCTGGATGAACCTTGAAAACATTATGCTAAGTGAAATGAGCCAGATGAAAAAGGACAAATGTTGCATGAGTCCATTTATATGAAGTACTTACAACAGGCAAATTCATAGAGACAGAAAGTAGGATAGAGGCTTTCAGAGGCTGGGAAGAGAGGTAAATGGGG